CTTGCTCAGGTGGCTGCTGCTGTGCTGAGGACGAGGAGAGGCTGCTCTGTCTCTGAGCAGCCCCGCAGGCTGTCCCTCCTCCTCCCCTTTGACCTGCAAACCATGTTCCGGGCTTGTCAGAACTGCCTCCAGCCTTTCCATCAATGGCTGCATTTCTGTTGTCCCCCTCTCACTCCTCCTGCTTTGCCTCCTGGGAGCCATGCTAGACAATATGATGTCCATGGGTTTGACCCATGACCACCATCTCCACTTGAGAAAAGTGGAGATTTGAAGATAAAGCCTGGGAAGGACAGGGACCTCAGTGGGGGACAAGGCCATAGAGCCCACCCTCCAAAAGCATCCATTTTCTCCAAGGGGACTGATCTCTGTAGTCTGGAGATGAGCTGTAATTCCGGAGGATCCTCAGGTCTCACCTGGAGGCTGGCATGCCTATACCCAAGCAAGGGACAAGCATGATTCCTCCCTTCCCTCCGATCCTTGGGCGTGTGCATGTGCTTGTTGTGGTACATCTGCAAAAACTGCATGGATTGCCTTTGCTGCTTGCACTCTTTCAGAAAACAAGGTTGTCATTTTGCAAAGCTGAGTTTTCTCCTTGCCTTTCCTCCTCTTCCTCACCCTCCTTTGATTATTCCCCTTGTCCACAAAACTCAGTTTCTTTCTTCCCCTTCCGCTGGGATCATTTTGGAGCCTGCGCACCTTTTCCTGGTATTCAAAGTCAAATACCTTTAATGGCATAGCAGTAAAATGCATAGATATACAATAACACCGCGTGAAAATTTAAAAGCATAATGGACAAAATAAATCATTCCTTTAGGAGCACAGATCTAACTTTGGCCGCTTTGGCAAGAAACTTGGCCACTATAGGTGTGATATCTTTACTGCACTATCCTAGGCATGTTTATTCAGAAATAAATTGCATTTTATTCAGTCGGGCTTTCTCCCAGGTAAGTGTGTATAGGATTACAGCATTACAGTGCATTTTTTTGTTTGTACTTAACTTAATGGGATAAGTCCCATTGAATATAGTGGGACTTCCACCTGAGTAGGCACTCATAGTGCTTAGTTGCAAGCCACTTCCTGAGCTCATGTTGGGCTGCAAAAATGGACCACAATGGAAAGGGGCTAATGTGATCCATTTTCCCAGGTTGGTTGTTAGCTTCCCAGTTGACCATTTCAGAAATGAGCGGCAGAGCAGTGGAGGGGTGCACTCTCCTGATTTGCCCCATCCACCTTACCTGGTGATTCTAGGCCCCCATCCCTGAGTTGTACGCAGGGCCCCCAGAATCAATAAGACCACCCAGGACACCTTTCTTATGTACAGAAGATCAAACATGAGGTTTCGTTTTCTTCTAGAATTTGGTGGGCGGCGGCAATTAAAAGTACCAGTACAGGAACAAGTGAGAGAAAATGTTAATCAGGAATAGGGCCGCCTTTGTAGTGGAATCCCCACTCCCCCCAAAATTATCTTCGAAAACCCCATAAAACTGGCACAGCTCTAAACATTCCAAAATATTTGAAGTGATCCCTAGAACCCCTACGTATCAGTTCTAATGTTTCTGTTCTCATTTTCTTTTGTAGAGGCTGTGCTCGCTGGACCTGAGGCCGAGAAAGGTAAATATCTAGGCTTGGGGGAAAGATATTAGAAGCACAATAAGTAGAGAATATTGCAGTAGATTACAGCTATTGAGGAATTCACTTTAAAAATAATTTTCCCCAAAATGTCTGGGTTTATGAAATAGATCGAACTTTAAATTCTGTTGTAATAACAAGGTTAACTAACTAGAATGAAACATATCAGAATTCTCCGAGAAAACCTGGGTGGTGGGCAATGCTCCCTTTAAGCCGTGGAGTCTTGTGAGCAAAATTCCACTTTGTGAACTACTGGCATTAAAGTTGTGAGCGAGCCATTTGGCTACTACATAAATTAGTTTGCTCTGGAGTCCATCCTTCCTGAGCGAAGACAAAAATGTGTGGGCCAGAGGCTAAAAAACTGTGAGCTAGCTCACTAACTCAGCTTAGAGGGAACACTGGTGGTGGGAGATGATGGGTATGTTACAAAGGGAGTTCAGTTGAGCTTTTTTCTCTCTCATCTCCACTGCAAGAATGTGCCAGTCTGAAAGCTGTAGATGGTAGTCTGAGACTAGCTGGAGCAGTATGTCAGTACCCTGCGATTTCTTTTGGTTTGAAATTGAGAAGAAGACGACGACGACATTGGATTTATACCCTGCCCTTCACTACCCGAAGGAGTCTGAGCAGTTTACAATCTCCTTTCCCTTCCTCTTCCCACAACAGACATCCTGTGTGGTTGGTGGGGCTGAGAGAGCTCTTTGAGAACTGCTCTTCAGAGAACAGCTCTGAAAGAACTTGTGACTGACCCAAGGTCATGCCAGCAGCTGCATGTGGAGGAGTGGGGAATTAAACCCGGTTCTCCCAGATTAAAGTCTGCTCTCCTAACCACTACACCAAATTGGCTCTGAAAGATGAAGTTATAGGGAGATAGAATGAGAACTGTCCAAAGTCTCTGCAAGTAAGATGAAGGGCAAGAAGAGATACATGGAAGGTGACTTGTAGTTGCATGTTTTTGCATTCTGGCCATAATCTGTTGTACTGTCTGGTATGATTTGGTCCTGAAATCAGATAGATTTGAGTGGCTTTTTTTTGCTGTACTTAGCTTAGTTTTTGAATAATTTGGATCAAATCTGTCCTTCCCTTCTGCGGATAGCTTGTACCATTGGACTTTGCACTGTAATCAGTGCAGTCAATACATCCAATTTAAGAATTATTAATCAGGGGAGAAGACTGATTATCATTGCTAATGGCAACATTTCTACAATGGAGCTATTTAATGACTATATTTGTTGAAAGAAGGTAGAAAAGGCACTAACCATTGGAAATGCCAAAGACCCAAACCAGCTAAAGACCCAAATGGTGGTAATAAGTAGAACCCATCTGTAATTAGGGATGCTCATGAAACCAGCTCATGAACTAATGTTCATGATGAATTTTGGCCAGTATGTGATTCGTGTACTAAAGTTCATGGCAGGTCAGCCAGCACGAACTTTCCACAAATCTTCAAACAGTTTGTGGAAAGTTCATGCCCATTCATGAATGGCCATATTTTCAGATTGTCTTTGCTCAAACAAAATATTAACTGAACTTCAAAGAAACATGAGAGGTGGAATTCTCCAGCCTTGGATACACTGTTGTCAGTTTCAAACTAGTCATGTCAGATACAAGAGGTTTCCCCCCTTTGTTGGTATCCCTTTCTTGCACAGAGCTTGCAAAATCCTACCCCCCTGCTTGGATTTGTAATGTTGAGCTTTGAGATCAGTCCTTTTAAGCTTGCAATGCCAGTGGCACTGGGTTCTGCTGGATACTCTGTTATTGAACTTGTACTGCTGGGCATGCTGTACATTCTATTGGTTCTGCTGGGCTTGCAAAAATTCCCTCCTTGCTTGGATTGTGATTGAGTCGGCATTACCACAATGGCACTGGATTCTGCTGGCCACTAGTACATTGCATGGGTTCTACTGGGCTTCCAATCCCACCCCCCTTGCTTGGATTGTGAGTCTGTGCTTGACATCAATCCTGTTGAGTTGGCATTGCCACATTGGCACTGGATACTCTGTGATTGCACTGGGCACTCTGTACATTGCACTAGCTCTGTTGAACTTGCAAAAATGCCCCCCCCCAGTTTCTACTGCAGAGAGTCTCTGTTTTGACCTGTTCGGTTTGCAGTGCCACAGTGGCACTGGTTCTGCTGGGCACATTGCACTAGTTCTGCTGGGCTTGCAAAATGCCCCCCTTCTTCAGTTTCTATTGCAGAGATTCTGTGGGACTTCGAAGCTGTTCTGCTGGGCTTCTATTGCCCTTACTTTTTTACAGGTTTTTTTCACCATTGGAAAATGGAGGATGGGGGCACCTTCTTTGGGGTGCCATAACTCAGACTCCATAAATCCAGCCCTCACCAAACTGGGAGGATGGGTAGAAGGGAGTTAGCCAGAGATCTGCTGCAAGTTTGGTGTCTCTAGCACTCCGAGGGGGCCACTCTACCACATCACAAACCTCATGAACCAAAACCAGTTTGTTCAGCCTCTAAAAGTTCCATGATGGTTCATGCAGGGGTCATTTCCTGGAGGAGCGCACAGGAGCGGAGCTCCGGCAGTAAAGAGCACAGGGGGAAGGCACATGCAGGCACATGGAACAAGCCCCACTCCCTGCTCCCAGCAGCCCTGGGCCATGAGGAGCATGAAGCAGCCATGTAAGTTGCAGACCACCTCCCGGCCCCCCGGTCCAAAACAGTCCAGTGGCACCTTTAAGTTTTATTCCAGTACAAGCTCTCCCTCCTCTGTGAGGACAGATCTGCACATCCCCCCCCCCCCAGTTAGCAATCCAAAACAGTCCAGTGGAGCCTGAGTGGTGGAAGTTGCCTTATGACACACGTCCGGTGATGTCAGGGGGCGTGGCATATGCAAATAAGTTATGCTAATGAGTTATGCTAATGAGCTCCTGCACCTCTTTTTCTACGAAATGACCCCTGGGTTCATGGTTCACAAACCAGGCACACTACAAACCAAACTGCATTTTCCCGGTTTGTACCCACCCCTGTTTGTAATTACCCCAAGTCATGTAAAGAATAAAACTATAGCAGGGAAGACTTTCTCAATTCCAGGCTTTGATGTCTGCTCCCATTCTCCTCAGCCTTAATCACAGAATCAGTGAAGTCCAGTGACAAAAAAAAAATGGCTTCACAGCATGGGACTTCCCTCAAGCAGTGTTCTCTTTATTTCTTGAACTGACTCTTCCTGAATTCACTGTGTTACCGAAAGAACTGCAGTGCAGCCCAAACAGATGCTGGGGACTTTAGAGAATTCTGATCTGTTGTAATCAGCACGTCCATCACAAGAGCTGTAGCAAAACCCCTTGCCTTGCTGGACGGGAGGCGGAGAGGGCAATATTTCAGTCCTATATTGTATTCTCATGCATCCTCCTGAACTTGTAGTAGCAGACGCTGCTGCTGGTGCTTTCAAAATTTTAAAAACAGTCTGACCCTTTTTTCTCTTTTGCAGCAAAGTTCACTGTCAGCGGAACCTGTACAATTCCCACACTAATTCTATCGGCGAATTACTCACCTAATCTCTGTTCATTTGCCACCGGACAGCAGTACCCATCGTGGAGTAATCTCTACCAAAATCTCAGCCAGTTTTCTTGTTGGTCCTACGTTATGGGAGCTGAGAGAATAAATTCAGGGACCTGTTCCTGGGTAATGAATATAAAGTTAGAAAAGTTCTGGGCTGTGGGGGTAGCCCTTGAGTGTTTTCGGGGAAGAGATAAGTACTCCTTGACCCCTGAGCAAGGGGTTTGGGCTGTGGGAATGTCAAATAATAGGTGGTATGCATTCACTTCTGCTGGGACACATAATTTGGCATGTCTGTGGTCCAGCAATGGGATGCGTGCATGTCCCATCAGCCCTTGTAATGCTACAACCATCCGGGTCTCACTAAACCATGAACAAGGCTTAGTAACATTTTTTAATGCTGACAATGACAGTGCCATCTACACGTTTCACAATGCCTTTTTCTCTGGGCAGCCAATCTCTTCCTGTTTTTTCGTGGGCAAGTGAAATGAGGCAGCTGTTCAGGATGTATGGGAGATGTGGCAGCAGTGTGATGCAAAGCAGGTTCTGCTCTTTCCCCAATATCTCCTCCCAAGGGCCAGCTTTGGGAACAGCTATCCTCTGAGTCATTCCTGTGAGATGAGAAAGGCCCCCCTTAGTTTGCAATGGTAGCTCTCCTGTCCCTACAATGATTCCAAGAGCCAAGGAGTGCACCAAAAAAACCTTTGGCCCTCTAGTCTTAAGGTGGGGGGAAATTGTCTTTGTTCCAGGGAATGAACTTAGAAAGAGCCCCTGTCTTGGAGGAAATCAATAAACATCTCAAAATATCCCACTGAAACCGGTTATATTACTGCTAAATTCAGCAACCACAAATGATAATCAAGTACTACATATCTCAGAGTTGGTTTCTACACTATTGGCTATGGCTAGACTGACTATTGCGGTCTCCTGGAAATCCCCCAACCCTCCTACCATTCAGAATTGGTGAAATAAATGCTGGGATCATTTTATAATGGACAAGATTGCAAATAAATACAAAGGGCAAACAAATAGCTACACAGGATCTCACTCCAAATTTGTGCGCAAGTGGTTACCTCTGGAAAATGAATTTCTACTCTCAAACCCAAGCTATATAGAATGGATACATTTCTGATTCACACCTCTTTAGTCTGAGCTCTTATCACTTAAGTCTTAGTTTGTAAATAGTATATTTGTATAAAGTTAGTTATATGCAATATATAGATACTGAGTTGAAATTGAATGAAATCTCAATGTATTTTATCTCTTAATACATTTATCTGTAACTAGGAATAAGGCTCCGTTGTGTTATTGGGTTTGTTTCTTTTGAAGGGGAAGTGAGGGAGGAGATCATGGCTTGGGGAGGGTGTTCCCCTTCCAGCACCCATTTTACCTTTATTGGGAGGGCCGACCATAATGTAATTGTTTTCACACTGCCATAAGAAAATGATCTGTGACTGTATTGTGGTACCGGTACGTCTCTGCTGATGTGATGAACGGCTGGGTTAATACGTAGCTTGCCAGTTTAAAGTAGGAACCTGTGAGGCCTAACTTGCCTGGAAGACAAAATTGTCCCCACAATACAGTTGGTGCATTTCTTCCAGGGTGAAGCACAAAACTGCCTCTGCAAACTTGAGATGGTAATCTACAAAACAAACGGACCCCAGCCTCCTTGTGTTTCACATTGGCCCTCTTATTTTTGTATTCTACCTGGTATCCCTTTGCTTTCTTAATGGTACTGCTTAAAACTAGTAAATGCTTTCCAACTGCTGATTCCATTGCTGCTGTATATGAAATGACACCGCCTGTAACAAAGGCCTCCAATCCTAGGACTATGTTGAAGAAACCTTGATTAATAAATGTTATGTGCCTTTGAAGAATCTGCTTAAAGCCATTCTGAAAATATTTCTTTGAAGAATTATGAGTTTAAATTGATAAAATCTGCATAAAAACAGAAATGAGCCTCCTGGAAAAGGCAGGCTTTGTTTTTAGATACTGCAATGCGTGTGTTGTGATGGGTGCCCTCATAGAAGAGGCATTCCTTCCTGTGCATGAGAGAAGGGGGAATGCATCTTAGAGTGCCAAGACGAGTCAGCAAGGTAGGGTGGGTTCAGGTAGGTAGAGGCAAGAGAGAACAATGGGCAGATGCTCTTCTTATATATTCTAGAAGTGGCTTGGGGCATGTGCCACCAAGTTAGAAGCTGCCAATTCCTTAATGGGTCAAGAAAATGAAATTACGTGTTGGGCAATTGATATAATGTTTCCTAATAGTGACACCTTTCAGAGTAAGGGGCTGAAGACAAAGGAGAAGAAAAAAACAGACATTCAAGGTGCTTGACTAGTCATTATATTGATGGGCGGTGGGTGTGTTTGGCAGCTGAGTTAATCTCGTCATGGTCAAGTTCTGTTGTTTTACTTGAGGATGAGTATGTGCAGTTTCAGGTGACGCTGCTAGGAGAAGGGGAGAATGCCTGCATGATGGAGAAGATGCTTGTCCATGGTGTTTGTGCAGGAATGTTCATGGCTGCCTCTCCAAAGCATGGCTTCTCTGGAAGTCTGGCTGCTGGCTCCATGTAGCTGCGATGTCAGGGAGGCTGGTAGGCCATCTACCGGGGTCTGCAGCGTCCTTAGATGCAGGGATAGATGGTATCGGGTATTCCATGGGTCCATGCTGCTTCAGTGCAAGGCTACCCTTGGATGGGCACATGTCTTCTGTCCAGTAAGTTGGCTCCATCGCATGGTCACCATTCAGTCCATTTTCCCTGGCACACACATTATACAGTCCAGCTTAGAGTTATATTTCATGTCCATACTTAAGAAGCTTGCAGGGGAACCTCTTTCTTGGCTGGTGTCCAATTTGCCCTATTTGGGCAAATTAATTGAGAGGGCGGTGGTGGTGCAGCTACAGGGCTGTCTGGATGACGCTTCCACTTTAGATCCCTTCAAGTCCGGTTTTCGCCCAGGGTATGGGACGGAGACAGTGCTGGTCGCCCTAACCGACGATCTCCGGTGGCATCTGGATCTGGTGTGGCGGTATTACCGTTGTTAGATCTGTCGGCCACGTTTGATACGGTCAGCCACCAGCTGCTGACCCGCCGCCTCGCTGACATGGGGATACCGGGGCTTGCCCTTCAATGGCTTGCCTCTTTTCTCCAGGGTCGGGGTCGGGGGACAAAGGGTGGTGCTCAGGGAACAGCAGTCCCAAAGGCACCCGCTTGAATGCGGTGTGCCTCAGGGGGCTGTGCTTTCCCTGATGTTGTTCCACATCTATATGCGCCCCCTTGCCCAGATTGCTCGGAGGCATTGGCTTGGGTGTCATCAATATGCAGATGACACCCAGCTCTATCTGATGTTGGGTGGCTGGTCAGATTCCATCCCAGAAGACCTAAACCGGGCACTACAAGCCGTGGCTGGGCGGCTTAGACTGAGCCAGCTGAAACTAAACCCAGCGAAGACGGAGGTCCTGTGTCTGGGTGGTCATGGAGTGGGGTTCCCTCTCCCGACCTTCGATGGGCTTGGGAATGCGCCTGGATTTCTCCTTAACTATGGAGGCCCAGGTGGCAGCCGCTGCCGGCTCGGCCTTTTTCCATCTTCGGCTGATTCGGCAGTTGGTCCCCTTCCTCGACCGCAATGACCCAGCTATAGTGATCCATGCAACTGTCACCTCGAGATTAGACTACTGTAACGCTCTCTACATGGGGCTGCCTTTGTCACAGATTCAGAAGCTGCAGTTAGTGCAGAATGCTGCGGCCAGGCTTCTGATGGGTCTCCCTAAATGGGACCACATCCGACCTGTGCTGAAAGCGCAGCACTGGCTGCCAATAGCATTCCGAATCTGCTTCAGAGTGCTGGTACTTACCTTTAAGCCCTATACAGCCAGGGTCTGACGTACCTGATGGATCAGTGCTGCGAAAATGGGCTCTGGTTTAATACCCTATGGGTTAATATTCTCAAGCCTTCATCTTGATTTGACTGAAACAATAATATTACTGAGCACTTTATTAATGTTAATCTGATTGTTTTATTCTGATTTTAATGTTTTATACTGGCACTTGATGCCCTTGTTGTGAGCCGCCCTGAGCCTGCTTGTGGGGAGGGTGGGATAGAAATATGGAAAATATGAGAAATAAATAAATAAATAAAAACTCATACAAGAGCTAGTTAAGAGGAAAACAGAGAAAAAGGGAAAAGGTTTTTAGAGAAGGGCTATAATTACCAATCCTGAAGAGGTCCAGAGAAGCAGCAAGTTGAAGAGCAAAACAGCCGGCATTTCAGGAAGCAAGAAAATACCAATGAGCACATGGGGTTGTGAGAAGGGATCCAAGGTGTGCACACACACACTACCATGGCAGCAGGGTGGTCCAGTTATAGGACAAAACATACCCCATGCCGGGTTGGCACATTGCCGGAAAAAAACAATAACTAAATGGTCCAGGGGTCTTTTGCTAGAAAAAGAGCTGCAGGAGCTCATTAGCATATGGTATGCTAATGACCTACTAGGCTATTAGCATATGCCACCCCCCTGACATCACTGGAAGTGATGTCAGAAGGTGAAGCAAAATTTATAAATTTAAGGCGGACAATTTAGATGTCTTTGGAGAACTTTAAATCAAAACTTGCAATGGATTACAAATTGTTGTCATGGAATGTGAATGGATTAAATTCACCAAATAAGAGGAAAAGAATCAATCATTGGATACAAAAATAAAATTGTAATGTGATATGCTTGCAAGAAACTCATATTTCTTTGGAGAACTTTAAATCAAAACTTGCAATGGATTACAAATTGTTGTCATGGAATGTGAATGGATTAAATTCACCAAATAAGAGGAAAAGAATCAATCATTGGATACAAAAACAAAATTGTAATGTGATATGCTTGCAAGAAACTCATATTAGA